GACCTTATATTCCCTATTTATTTCTATGTTTTAGATATGTGAGATGACGACTCACCAAATTCAGGTTCCATTCTTTTGGGGAGACCATTTTTAAAAACTATTTGAACCAAAATACATGTTTATGATGGTACCCTTTCAATGAAATTTGATGGTGAAGTTATCAACTTTAATATTTATGACGTATGTGTTATCATGATTATATTTTAGCCCTTAATTTCATTGATGTAATTGAACCACTATTTGTAGAAATTTTAAGATTGTTAACCGTGAGTCACTATCATTAGTGAATATGTCTATTAATACAACTCAGGTATTATCAGAAAATGATGTGGTTGATAGAGAAGTTCAAGAGATGGCAGCTCATATGCACCAACAGAGAAAGTTGATGTATGGTACCCAAACTCTTAAATTACCAGTTCTAACTCCAAATGTTTTCCTTCTATAGTGAAAGCTCCCATCTTGGAGCTGAAGACACTTCCAAAACACCTGAAATATACATACCTTGGAGAAAAAGAAACACTACCAGTCATCATATCCAACAAGTTGTCAGAAAAAGAAGATTCAGAATTCTGAAGGAGTATAAAAACACGATTGGGTGGACTATTCCAGACATCAAAGGACTCAGCCCATCTCTCTGCATGCATAAAATTTTAATGGAAGAAGATTATAAACCATCGCAAGAATCCCAACACAGATTAAACCCACCAATGACGAAGGTGGTTAAAAAAGAAGTTATGAACTTATTAGATGTTGGGATGATATAACTGATATCTGACAGCAAATGGGTCATCCCAGTTCAAGTAATACCAAAGAAGGTTGGAATGACAGTGGTAGAAAACAAAGAAGGAGAGCTGGTTCCAAATCGGGTTCAAAATGGATGGCGTGTTTGTATTGATTATAGAAAAATAAACGCAGCCACCAGGAAAGATCGTTTTCCTCTCCCATTTATAGATCAGATGCTAGAGAGGCTTGCTAAAAAAATCCCACTACTGCTACTTAGATGGATTCTCAGGTTTCCATTAGATTCGGGTTGCTCCAGAAGACAAGGAGAAAACGACATTCACCTGTCCATTCGGGACATTCGCGTACAAGCGTATGCCCTTTGGACTCTACAACGCACCCACTACCTTTCAAAGATGTATGGTTAGTATCTTTTTTGAATATGTAGAAAATACCATAGAAGTTTTCATGGATGATTTTACCGTTTATAGGGACTCCTTTGATATTTGTTTGAAAACCCTCACAAAATTTTTGTAAAGATGTATTGAAACATACTTGGTCTTAAATTTTGAAAAACATCACTTTATGGTTGACCAAGGTCTGATTTTGGGTCATATTGTTTCAAAAAGCGGTTTGTAAGTCGTCAAAGCAAAAATATATCTTACAAAAATCTTGCCCTGCTCGAAGAATGTTCGGGAAGTGCGTTCTTTTCTTGGTTATGCAGGTTTTCACATGTGGTTTATAAAATACTTTTCAAAGATATCAATTCCCACATGTTAGTTACTGCAAAAAGATGTTGAGTTTGACTTCAATGAAGATTGCAAGAAGGATTTTGATGTGTTGAAAAATCTTCTTACTTCTACCCCATTATTCAGCCCTTAGATTGGAGTTTACCATTCGAGATAATGTGTGACACCAGTAACACTGCTATTGGAGCTGCTTTAGGACAAAGGAAATATCGAGTTCCCATGTTATATATTACGCATCAAAACTTTGGACAACGCCCGAGCAAATTACTCTACCATAGAAAAAGAGTTGTTGTCAATTGTTTTTGCATTGGAAAAATACAAACAATATCTGTTGGGCATGAAAGTTATAATCTTTTCTGATCGTGCAACTATCTGATACCTTCTTTCCAAAAAAGACTCAAAGCCAAGGTTGATCAGATGGATTTTGTTCCTACAGGAATTTGATATAGAGATCAGGGACAAAAGTAGGAGAGAAAATTTGATGGTTAATCATTTAAGCCGACTCACTCCACCTGAAGACCCGACACCGATTCGTGAAAAATTTCCTGACGAGCATCTATTCGTTGTTCAGAACCCTCCTTGGATTGATGATATAGTGAACTACTCTGTCTCCAGAGAACCCCCTTCATATCTTACCTGAGCCCAGAAAGATAAAATACAGAAGGAGGTGAAAAGATATCTCTGGGATGAGTCGTATTTATGGAAACACTATGTTGATCGGGTGATTAAAAGATGTGTGCCTCAAGATGAAGTCAATTCAATTCTGAATTTCTGCCATTCAGAAGCTTGTATAGGGCATTATAGTCCACAACAAACCGCACACAAGGTCTTGGACAACGATCTTTACTGGCCTCATATTTTTCGTAACTCATTTATGCTTTGAAAAACTTGTGAAAGGTGACAAATGATTGGGTCATTGACATCTCAAAATCAAATGCCACTTACCCTAATCTTAGTATGTGAAATCTTTGATGTTTGGGGTATAGATTTCATGGGTCCATTTCCGCCATCTTTCGGATTTGTGAATATCTTACTTACTGTGGATTACATATCTAAATGGGTCGAGGTAAAATCTACACGAACAGACGATGCCAAGGTTGTAGTTGATTTTTTCAAGACAAACATATCCGTAAGGTTTGGAACACCAAAAGTCATTATTAGTGATTGGGGTATGCATTTTTGCAACTGCACCGTTGAAGCAGTTCTCAAGAAATATGGTGCCACACATCGGGTATCACAACATATCACCCGCAAACTAACGGACAAGCAGAAGCTTCAAACAGACAGATTAAGGGCATTATAGAGAAAATCATTAATCCAGTCATGAAAGATTGGAGTATTCGATTGGATGATGTGTTATGGGCTTACCGGACAACATACAAGACTTCTATCGGCATGTCACCATATTGAATTGGTTTTGGCAAACCATGTCGATTATCGGTTAAATTTGAGCATCGAGCATATTGGGTTGAAAAGATTTGATAGATGAAGCTCGTAAGAAAAGAAGGTTGGACATCCAAGATTTAGAAGAAATATGGAACGATGCTGACGAGAACGAAGCAATCTATAAGGAGAAGACACAAGCTTTCCACAACAAGATGATCTCGCGAAAGGTATCCACTACCGGTCAAAAGGTACTCTTATATCATTATCGTTTCAAACTTATTTCCGGTAAATTGAGGTCTCGTTGGGTGGGACCTTTTGTTGTTACTAACGTGTTTGATCATGGTGCCATAGAAATTAAAAGTGAACAAACAGGAAATATTTTTAAGGTAAATGGTCATCGTCTCAAACCATTCTACGAAGGGTTTCAAGTTACAAATGAAGAAGTAGAGGTAGTCGAGGTCCAGACTTACCACAATTAAGAAAATCAAATAACAATGTCGAGCCAACAACAGTAAAAATGGGCGGCTAAATGGGACGCAACCCGGGCGTTTGTTTTTGGTTTTTGTTTTTTGTTAACTTAACTTCATTTTTTGTGTGTTTTAGATACTTAGGTTGTCTCTTCTTAACCGAATCATGTTTTTCATACAAAAAGGAACAGAGAGGATTTGAAATTTTATGGAAAAAACAATTTTTATGGTACATGCGATCGCAAGTTGTGTTTTTTGGTTCGCAAGAGATCATAGAGGATTTTTGGAACGATTTCTAACGAAAAAGGACTTTATGTGATTGCAGGTTCTCCCTATGCGATCACATGTTTCAATTTTTTATTTATATCAAATCCTCGAGTATTTTATAACATAAATAAAAAAATTATAAAAGTTGCGATAGCAACTTACATACATGCGATCGCATGTATCTATTTTTTTGAACGTTGACGTTTTTCTTAGCTTAAAACACCCGAATCTGTCATTTTTTTAAAACATGTGATCACAACTTGTGCATGTGTGATCGCAACTATCTATTTTCCTATAAATACTAGTCGCGGGCTTATTTGTAACCCACCACAACTCAAATATTCTCTTCTTATTCCGATTTTTATTGGATTCTCTCACCAAAAACCACATAAACCGCTCGTTTTTCATCCAAATCAAGCAAAAAAGGTATCAATATCTTCTATTTTAATTCTAATACATCATCATGGTAACAAAATCATGATTCCACGGTTGAAATTCTTCAAAAATCTATTTTTCTTCATTTTGAAATTTGAATTTTTGTGAGTTTCTTTTTCAGATCTACGCTCTGTTAACACTCTGCATGCCCCGAAAACTTGAAACGTTTGTTCCAGACACAATTCAGAAGAGGTTCATCTGGAAAAAATTTCAAAACTCAAAACTTTTTCAAATGCAAAAAATATATTGTTGCTCAGTTTGCAGTCAAGTATATTCGTTCTAAAACAGAACTCTTTTGTGTCTGTCATATATTTGTGCGGGCTTGCGTATCCGCTGTGGGAGTAGTCAGAAAAAATTTAATTTTGCATGATTATTGTTTATCTGGAATTGTGCCTGATCTGTCCCAATTTTTGTCTTGAAAATGCCTCCTAGACCTTCCTGTTAATGCAAAAATGTTGACACTCCAGACCCTTCATACATTGTTCAAGCGGACACTGTGACTGTAGACTTCGGTTCATAGGTGGCTTTTTACTGTTACCAACGACTTCTCGACAGTGAGATTTTACCACAAGCCTAGGTCCCCAGCTGCACATTAATGCGGGAACTCCGTATCTATGATGGTGTCTTGCTCTTTTCGCCAATATTGGCTTGGAGCGTCTCTTAGGTGCGGATTTACCCACATGTCCCTTACTGACCCAAGAGTTCCTAGCAACCCTGAGTGAGGTTAACCAAGAGGGATACATTGCTTTGAGCTATTTTAGTACCCCACACTCTATCCACATGGACCAGTTGTGTACCATTTTTCGCACACCCATCACCAACCTATCCCAATTTACCGCCGCCATCAATGTGCGTGATTTTTGGCACTCCATCACAGGATTGGAATTTTACGAGGAATCCCAATCCATTCATACTAGTATTTTCCATCCAATTCTGAAAATTACATTCAAAATTATATGCAATATTATTTAAGCACATGTTGAGACCACTAAAGCTGGCGAAGCCAGGCTTTTCCTTTTTATGGAGCATGATCACGGGTCCTACCACCCTCACTTTTGTTGATGTAATCATCAAAATATTCCATAAAGTTAAAAACCTCAACACCCGTTGTGCCATTCGTTGTGGCAGTCTAATTATGGTCATTGCTTGCACCATCATGGAGCAATCTCTTCTGGAGTACACCATTTTTCCGGGTGAATCCTTTCATATGACCCTGCAGAACCATCGGGCAATGCACATGTTACGTCCTACTCTGGGTGGGAATGTCTTGATGCTAGGACGATCCACTTATTTCAAGGTCACTAGTCCTGATGACATCGCCCTCGCTGATCCCATTAGTGAGACTATGTGGGTTCTTCCATCGAACATTCCACTACCTTTTTGCTCACGCAGGTCACAGCAGGCACCTGCGCGTCCACATTCTGACCCACCATCTTTGTCCACTATGCACCCTGATTACACAGACGCCACCTCACTCTCCTATAGTCAGCCTGATCCCATGCAGACTGACTTTCATGAGGAGCCCCAACGCACCCAACCACCTCACCCTGACCTCATTTCCCCTTTCACTCACCTGCACTATCTTGATATCCGCCATGATATTGTTGCCCTTCAAAAGAGTACGACTGGTCTCCGCCTATATTACCAGCTTTATAGTACCCAGGTTTTTGGGTTTCGTAATGAGGTCTTAGGTTATCGTGAGGATTTCGCAGACTTCCACAAGGAGTTCTGTCGCTGCTTTTCCATCCTCACCCGAGTAGTCATTTTCCACTCCTCCTAAGCATTGAGAATAATGCTTAATTTTAAGCTTGGAGAGGGGTATTTGTTATCCGTTTGTAAAAAGTTTTTATTAAAAAAAATTTAAAAAGTTTAAAGAAATTCCAAAAAGATTTTTCATTTATGTTTTTTTATTATTCATTTTGCTACCTTGTTTTTATTAAAAAAATTGTAAAAAATATACGAGATGATGAAACTCTGTACATACAATAGCTCCATGAAGTGGGATATTAAGAATTAAAAAAAATGAAAAAAAATCCAAAGTGACATGATTGTTATTGGAAGTGTAGAATTAGCTGTCATAACTAGGGACCGAAAACACCGTGATTCAAGACCCCATCCTTAGATAATAAAAAAATGGAATTCTAAAATGTTCTTGTGGGCGGTAATAACAACATTAAGATGTTTTGCTTCTGAATGTTTAAACAGAATATTTATTGACAACTCTGGCCCCACATAACATGGCCTTATTTATTTACACGTGTTACCCTCACGGTAATAGAGAGCTTAAGTATCAGATCCACACAGTCAAAGAGAATGAAAAAAAGGTACAATGTTATGTCCAGTACCCAAATCAAGAACTTCAAGCGCTCAATTGAAGAAATTTCAAGAAATTCCCATAAAAAAAGATTGAAGAATTCAAGCTCAAAACAAAGTACAAAGCAAAGTCTAATCAAATTAGAAGTTGTTTCAAAGTTGCATCTAGCGAATGAAGAAATGTGTGATATGATACTTGTGGCTCTCGAAAAAGTGAAATCATAGATCTCAGGCTCCTACGGGGTTGGCCCTTGTTGCTTTGGCGAAAGCTGATTTGGTCATGCTTGCTCTTAAGGATGCGTCGATTCTGATTCTTACCTATCCAATCTGAAGGACATGAGATCCGAATTGTGTTATTTTCGCTCATAAGACTAATTAAGGTATAAAGTTTAAATAAAACTAGTTTTGGACTATTGTGTTACACCGTTTTATGGTCTTCCTCACTTTGGGAGTCTTTGATACATGAAAGGTAGTAGGATGGTTGCTTAGTGTAAGTGATTGGAGCCCTTTTCGATATAAAGTTTGATCGTATATAAAAAAAATATAAAAAGTAAAAAAAAAAAATTAAGCCTGTTTTTATTTTTAGTTGTTCGTTTCTCATTTTCATATTCTTTTCGTTTATTACGCATTTTCTTTATTTTTGCATGCATATTTTATTCTTTGTTATGTTTATCTTCTGTATTTCCTGTTAGTTAGGTTTTCGTTTTTAAGTTGTTAGTATCTAGGTTTTTTCTTTATTGCCCTTAGCCTCTATTCCATTTCCAAAGTTATCCTTTCCTTACTCGAGGGCAAGTAAGGTCTAAACTTGGGAAAGTTTGTTAGATGCATTTTATATGCATCTTTTAGCCCAATTTCCTTGGTATTTCATTATAAAAAGCTAACTAACTTCGGATTATTCTTATGTATTTCGTGTTTCGTGATTATTTGGTAGAATGCCTGTACTGCTCACGTTTGTTATGACTTTTCTGGGCAATTTGGAGCATATAGATGATGTAACACCCGTAGATCCGGGCTCGTCAATTTAGAGACAATAGGCATCAAAAATAATTTTTTGATGGAAGATTATTTAGAAGTATTAATCTTAACCAAGTTGTAGTATATGTCTCAAGGTTTCCGAAAATATAAAGAACGTCGAAATCTGAGTTATAATGAAGAAGTTATGACCTGTCGAAGTTTCATAACAGAACCGGCATGACACAACGCGATATTTATCCAAAACAATCTAAATGAGAATTGAAGATCTCATTGATAGTAGTGCAACGACGGAAAGACAGATGAAAACGGACGTCAGACGGAGGAGTTATGAGTTTATAATGAAGTTTTCCTGTCCCGACATACTAAAAATAATATATAAGTAATATAATTATAATATACAAAAAATAAAGTCAAAATTAGCCAATGGAGTCTAAACGAGAGTTGTAGAGCATAATCTCACCTTCACGTCGATATAAAGAACGTCGAAAACGGAGTTCGTATGCGAAAGTTATGAATTTCAGAAGTTCGGGGCGCGAAACCCCAAAACTGTCAGAGACCACGACGTGGCAAGTCTCCTGACACCTTCGAGAGTCCCCCAGATGCAATTTTCAATGACGTATGCAGTGACGACCAAGCCCACGACGTGGAAAAAGGGTGCCACGACGTGGCAAGGGCCAAATTTTCCCTATAAACAGATTTGAAGGGCCAGCCAACTATGGTTGCTCCATCCCTTCTCTCCCACTCCCGATACACCCTCTAAGCCCTATTTTAACCCCCCGAAGCCCCGGTATCAACCCCGAGACCCGAAGTCAGTCCCGAATCGCCGAAGATCCAGAGAAGAAAAGAGTTTTCGAGCCGAAGCTCTGCCCGTGAGAAACCCGGCGTGTGAATATATCCCGGTTTCACCGAAGAATACTAATCTTAGAGCTGTAGTGTTGTACGATCATCTTCTGATCAAGTGAGTGTATAGTCACTTTCATCTTACACATAGATATGAAGTATTTTATAAAATACGTGCTATGTGTATATATATTGTTGTTTATATGTGTCAGTGTGTGGTCACTTTCATCTTACACATAGATGTGAAGTATTTTATAAAATATGTGCTATGTGTATATAGATATTGTTTTTTATATGTTTCAGTGTGTGGTTACTTTCTTCTAACACATAAATATAAAGTATTAGCTATGAAATATGTGTTATGTGTTATATATTATTTGTCTATTTGAAATCGGCATGAAATTGATGTTTTATACAAGTGTTAAATGATTTAAACTGTGTAAGTATTTATATCTACAAAAATGTTGTGTAGAACATGGGTAGATGGGATAGTTGGTGACTATGGAGTTAATGCCTATTGTTAGATAAACCCTGGTGACTATGGAGTTAGCGCCTACTGTTAGATAAACCTTGGTGACTATGGAGTTAGCGCCTACTGTTATATAAACCTTGGTGACTATGGAGTTAGCGTCTACTGTTAGATAAACCTTGGTGACTATGGAGTTAGCGCCTACTGTTATATAAACCTTGGTGACTATGGAGTTAGCGCCTATTGTATAAACCTTGGTGACTATGGAGTTAGCGCCTATTGTATAAACCTTGGTCACTATGGAGTTAGTGCCTATTGAGTAAACCTTGGTGACGATGTGACTTTGTGCCTGTTAAGTGAACCTTGGTGACTATGGAGTTTGCACCGCTTCAGTAAACCCCGACGACTATGGAGTTAGCATCTGATAGCTTTGGATTTAGTACCTGATAGATAAACTTTGGGAGCAATGGACTTCATGCCAATTCCTTAGGTCAATCCTTAGGAATGAATGAATAAAGGATAGTTGATTCTTAGGGTAAAACCTTAAGAGTAAAGAATATAATGGGGATGGGTAATTGGGTTGTTTGTTTAATGATTGAATATAATAATTGTATTATTGTGGGTTGAAAACCTTATATGCTCACTAGGCTCCCAAGCCTTACCGACTCAGTTTTCTTTGTATCACAGGTATCGATACGATTCCTGCTTTGCACTGAGAGATTAAAGGAGATGTAAATCAATAGTGTAAATGAATGTATGTTTTGTTTATGCTTATGTGTCTGTATCGGAACATGACATCTCGACGTTTTATTATTAAATGAAAATGCATTCTCTTTGAGAAATGTTTTGATAAGTTATTATCATATCTTGTTTTGGGAACAAATTCCGAAACCGTTTTCTTTAAAAGATTACTCTAATTTTAAAAACAAAGCATAAAAAAATCGGTCTTTTCTAGCCGTGAATTGGGGATGTCACAGTTGGTATCAGAGCATTAGTTTAAGCGAACTAGGAATTTGTAGGAAATTTCTAGACTTAAACTTAGAATGCTAAGTTATGATCGTGAGGAGTGTGTCTAAAATATATTAGGTAGTACACCTAAATTGACACAAGCACTACTATATTTTAGGAAAAATTCCTAAAATGCTTTTATGTGCTAAATGCTATATGTTTGCCATATATGAAATTGTTTGTTCAGATTTATGGTCTGTTGCCTACCAGATCTGGAAACTTTATGTATTTAGGATTCTAAGCGTACGACTACGATATTAGAACTAGCATGTAAACATTTCAGAGTGATAAGGAGATTTATACGTCTATCATAAATACAACTTTCTTATCTTAAATTCTCGTCCGATACACCAAACGTCTGCTTGGGTGTACAAAACGTCATGGTGGAGACTCGTAGAGAATTGAGAAAATGGAGGAAATGAAAGGCTTATGATAGTGAATGACACCTATCGGAAGATATCGTAAGAGTGGTGTCTTGCCTTTAGTTTATGTTTGATAAAATAACAGAACGTTTAGAGGAGTACGGTACGTATGAAGTACACCTTCGATTGGCAGGATGATGGAACGAATGGTGAAATTCTTGAAGTTGTCCCATAATCTAGAATTTCCATCACCAATCGAGTTAAAGCATGATTAATGATTGAAGATACACATGGAAGAAGTCCTAGTAGAGTCTAGGAGAATTGTTATGATTAATTGGACACATTAGTATGTGCTAAATTGTTTTGTGATTTTAGGACTTGGGGACTGCGAGACAATAATTGGGACGAGTATAAGTAGGTGTGAATAGTAGTAGAGATCTATACTACTAGAAGCACAGGACTCACGCTTGGATCATGGGTAGTCGCAAGGTTACCAAGAAGCTAGTAATTGATTCTGTTTTATTCAAGTATGTCGTTACCATTGTTTCGGTAATGACTAGTAAGATGGTTGTTATTCTGACCCTAGTGGTCATATCAATTGAGTCCGACTACGATGAGAGGTCATCAGGACACAACCCATCGGTCTGTTACAATAGATAAAGGAATGTATTTATCCTAAGATGAAGAAAGAGTTCACAATAAGTATTTATTTTGTAACTCGAAGGTTACAATTGAAAGTACAACATAGTACGAAGAGTAGATGCAGGATTGAGCACTACCTGCTATCGAGAAGTCCAAGAGTTAGATACTCTT